GCTTATCCTTATATGAATCTATCTTGAAAAAGGAAAATGCAAGAGCTTTAATTAGCATTACAATCTAAACCATTTTCCTTAGCAGACGATAAATCTTTCAAATGTAGTGCCCTTGTGTTAAGCAAATTCTGCATAATCGTTTGGTATTTAAAAGTGAATTAGACGAAGAACATTACTCTTGCGAAAATGTTTTTAAAATTCCTTCGTACTAACACACACATATTCAACCCCCCTTCTATGTGTTTCATGTCTAGCTTCATTTAAGGGTACGATATGGAATACATCGCCAGGGAAGGACCTCTTGTGTAAAAGCTTGGGGATTAGTCCTTTGGGATAGCTCGATTTATAAGTCTCAGTCTCGCCCATTGTGTGCAGTCCTTTGGGATAGCTCGATTTATAAGTCTCAGTCTCGCCCATTGTGTGCATGGTATGTATCTTGTGCGGCTTAGCTGTCCTGTCTACACCTTGGTAGTATGTCCTTCTAGTGAGAGTGTGCAGAGGGCGTGACCTGGCATGTACTCCTAGACTACTCTCGTGTATTGCTAGCAGCAATACGCCATGTGATATGTGTTACTGGCGCCTTAAACACAATAAACTGTTGTGTATAACTAGACTACTCTCGTGTACCAATTCGTATAACTAGAAACGCAGTAGGAAAGTAAACACAGTAAACTATTGCATCTTAATATCTCTTGAAATGCTGTAAGAAATGATAGTGTCTGAAACTCTTCGTCCTATGAAGATTTTAAATTCTCTTTACATTTGAACATTCAGTTTGTCATACTCTCATTAAAAAATCCTCATTAATAAAATCAGAAGAATCGGAGACAAACATTCTCCACACTTAAGAGTGTACAACAATTAAATTATTAAATGACAAAACCGTCGTTTGGGATTTTCTCTTAAAAAGATAAACCCTCTAACCTAAAAATTAATGCGAGTTGCACGACACTCTACATAAGGAAGGCAAAAGGGTGCCATGTCATGCGAATCATAAGGAAAATAAAAACAGAAATTATTCTTCTGTTTCAAAAACCTCATATATTCCCTCGTATTCGAAAACGTAATCCCTACGCTTCATATCCTCGAAATTCAAAACTCTTCATTTCTATCCCAAATCTCTAAACCCTAATCTCTCATCTCAAAAACGCCGCACAAGCTGGAAATGCCGTAAATGTGAACGTTATTGTAAAAATGCATGAAGCTACTGACTGTGCTCATACTTTCTCTATAGAGAAAAAACCAGTTATGTACTTAGAGCATCACTTCAACATTAAAAAAAATGCAGGAGTGGGGTATACCTATCTATGAGGATTTGGCCAACTGCGGAATACTCGGGTACTTCAACATTAAGGAAGTTTTTTATCTTGGGCTGATAAAGACGTTTTACAAATCTTTGAGGATTCATCAAAGATACTTCAAAGAAACGGTGCTCGGGGTAATAGCCAAAATCTCACCTTCCACCATCGCTCAAGCAGTAGGATGCGAGAGAGCCGAAAATGTCTACTAGGAAGAGTGGATGTCTGATGCTGGTAGACTGACAAAAATCACCAAAGCTCTTCATAAAGAAGGTGAAAAAGGACCAATAGTTTACAACAAGCTTGATGATAAGGCCAAGATTTATCAACAAATTCTAAACAAATCAATCCTC